TATGCATTTAATTCAGATGGACTCAGTCCAACGCTGGATGGAAGACTTGAAGCTCATGACTGACAGTGAATGCATGTGTATCCTTCAGTCTAAACCAATCAGTTTGGAAGAAGATGGCGAATTTTCCGTTTCATCTCAACATGGCACCTGTGACAACTTGCAATTGTTGCTGAAAAGAGCTTGGATTATAAGTACTGAGTTGACCAGGATTGTTCAAAAGCTGGAGAAGAATAGATGGCAGAGGGTGCACAGCATGACAGTCCGAGTCAGCTGCCATGTCCGATCAATGATCAATGAATATAATATACTCACAAGGAATTCTTGGGAAGAAATGCATCAGGTAAAATCAATGTAGAAACCAGTAGTATTATGAAACTATTACTTACAGTCTAGAATAAACATAAAAAAACTACCTTTAAAACAAGGAAATCTAGAACTCCATGGAACTGGAAAGAATGTGTCTGTGTTTATGTGTGTACATAATACACAGTATATAATAATGATGTCAGAATCATTATTTTGGCAGGAAGTTTCGGAATTAGCTTTGTACCAGATCAGATTCTATGAACATAATAATTATTGCAGTTTGTGCCTGGCATAGTACTTTTATTGCTGGAGAATTTTGAGTTTTTTCCCCTTATACTGATGATCTTAATCTTCTTGTATATCACTCAGAGTAAGTTGGTGAGGGTGAGGTTTTAGAAATGAAATCAAATTAGACATTTTTTTAAAGCTAATTCAATTTGCCTGATTTGATTGGCATCAAGAACTCGGTTCAAAGGACTTTACCATAATCTGTTGCTTGAACCATTCAGCTGGAGATACCAAGAAATAAACCTGGGATTTTCTATATGTAAATCATAGTCTTACCTATTGGGTCTATGGCCTTCCTCTTTATGCTACAATTCCTTTTTGCTTTAACTCTGGACACAAACTTTGCAATGTATATAATGTGTTATTCTGCTATAGCACATCCTACTTTTCTTACATGGTTGGTAATACTTCACATTCTAAAGTAAGATTGCCATATATAAGAATAGGAAACTTTAATTCAGCCCTTCCACTTGTCTGCTCATTTCAATAAGATCGCTCAATAGAATTTCAGAATGAAAAAGTGCAGGTCATTAAGTGTATAATTTTTTTTTAAAAAAACCCGAGGACTTGGAAAACAATTAGCTGTGATCCCAATCCAGATCAAGCTCCTATATGTTTATGAGCAGTATGGATATCAGGGATGATAGAAAAAAATAGCATCTTAGATTCACATAGCAATGTGATTCTAATATCAACAGAGGAGTTGTGTGTGCTGTGATCCAGAACATCAGCCTGGAGATGCTAATCTATTTTGGATTTCAAATGAGTATCTTAAATCTTGGTTTTAATGGAATTTTGCTTTTGTTTATTTTGATTAGCTGCTCTGGGTACTTTTGAGAAGAATGGGTATTACTTGAATTTAGCAATCAGATAATTCTTCTCTAACCACCTGCAAAAAAGAAAGAAAGAATGAAAGAATTCTCCTTTCCCAATTCCATGTAGTACACCACTTCTAGGTGCAACTGATGCTTCTGAATATTGGAATTTTGATTTTAGAGATCACAAACAAGTTAACTCCCTACCCCCCCCCCATCCAAAAACAGGATTAAATGTGACAGGATGAGAGACATCCCATGGGGTTCATTCATCATTATTATTTGACATTAAAAGGGAGGCGGAAAATAGAATTCCACGTAGAGTAAACCTTTGATATCCAACTCCCTCACCAGAATAAAAGGTTGATCATCCATTTTCAATCCAACTTGCCATCAGCCGTATTTTTTAAGATTTATATTTTGGTTATCCACACTGTTCTGCTGAACTAAGAATGAGTTAATAAATCTCATACAAATAAGTTAATGCAACACATCTCTGTTCCTATTTTCTGCAGTATAAAAAAATGCTGGTGGAAAAGTGCTCGGAGCTTACAACAATTACTGAAAGGTAATATTAAACATTATTGATTCTTGTACTTTTATCTTATCAAACCTATATTAAAAATTGTGGACAACCTTAATGGGTCGAAGAGCTATAATATTATGGTAGGTTTGAAACCAATAGGCCTCTTCCACCTGCAGAGAAAGCCTGACCTCTACCAAGTCTAATATGTATAAATCTTCCAGTGGTGGGATTCAGCCAGTTCGGTAGAACCGGTAACTAATTTTTTGTTGCCCAGGCCCAGAACGGACTTCTGGAAGCGGTATCCACACAGAGAACCTGTTGTTCACATATTTGAATCCCACCACTGAAGTCTTCTTTTTGGATTAATAGCTAATATTGTGGTAGAGGTTTAATATGTGTTTTGTGGGAAAGTATGTATTTAAAAGAAAAGAATGGGAAATCTTTAGGCTACAGAATTATATATCGGTGGTTCACAAACTGTGGCAATCATATTAATTATGAATTTTAATTTATCTTTATGTTGATGCTATAGAGCTGCTATTTAGTGTTGCATCTTGATTAGATCTTGGATTATAAATTACACTACCACTGGACTGAAACGTTGGTATCTTTTTCCTTCCAGGTGCATACAGATTGAAGATGAACAAATGTTAAAATCAATGAAATCTTGTATTAATGATGCACTAACCACAGTGGCACAGTATTTTGCCCAATTGATAGAACTAGCTCTAACATATGAAATAAAGGTTAGTATGTTTTTCTTTTCAGTAGTAAAAACATAATTTGGCAATGTTTCTATTTTTATCTCTTTATATCTCTTAAAATACCCAGAAGTATTTTGTTGTTTGTTGTTTGTTTGACATTGGAGGCTTATACTTATACAAAGACTAAGACCATGTCACCACCCTGTGCAGTCTAAACATTCTGGTGCATTAATCTTGATTTGCCTGTAAGTCCATGCTGTTTTCTTGGCCACAAATCTGAACAATAAAGGAGAATATTTGTAACTTAGTATTGAAATGAGGGATCCTCTCTGAGATTGGTAGTTTTCTTGCAGAGATTTCATTACCCAAACTAGATAATCCATCATCAGTGCTCGTAGGGAGAGCTAGTGGCTTGCCACTAGAACCATAAACCCTAGAGGATCAAGAAGCTGAGCAGTATTTTCCAATAAGGAGACCCTCTGAGAGAAGAATGGAATACAACATAGAAAAGGAAGAGTCTTTTGTCCTCTTTCCCCACCCCAAGTAGTTGTGAAATTGGAAAACAAGTAGTACCAAGGACACTAGTGGTGAGTAGCCCCGGAAGACTGGGGGAGGAGGAGAGAAGAAAAAAGACAGTAAAGATTCACTTCAATAGACATATGTAATGGGTCTGGGGCCTCTACAGAGCTAAGGAATATTTAATCATACCTTTGACATTATCCAAACATTCTGAATTTTGGAATATACTCTATGCCTTTCCAGATACTTGTGTCCTAATAAAGTTGCTTCTCTATGAAAGTTAGCACTCTGAATATAGTACTAGAAGAAGAGCTGTATGCTTCTTTCTGGTTTGAATGTATGTCTGATTCACTGTCTAAATATCCTAAGAGATAAGTCTTACAATTACTTCTTTTTGTCTGTTTTTGATTTGTTACACAGAACTTGGTGAAGGAGATAGATTCATCAGATAACATCTATTGTGTAGAATCAGCTGTAAGCAACTTATTCAGTCTTACTCAAGAAGGATCTCATTTGTGTCGCATCATTGCAAAGGCAAGTTACACTTGGGATGATTCTAGAACAACTATTTTGTTGAGCTCCAGATGCGGGTAGCCTCCTTTTGTAATGTTTTGTCTCTCCCCTCCCAATATTAAAATGTAAAATTTTCTTTCCAGGCAAAATAATCAATATCATAGGCTGTTGTTCTTAAAATTTAAGAATTACTACTGCATTGGTAGCATTTTATCTCAAAATGTACATTTCCCATCTCTCTATCTTTTCATTTTTCATCTGTGATTATGAGAATGTGGGCCAAAATTATTCAGGCTAAAGATATTGTAATATTATAAATGTGACTTTGCATTGCACATCTAGGAATTCTCTCTTACTTTATCTGGATCAAGCATGATAGAAGAATTTGTTCAATAAAAACAGTTAGAATGAGAGGACATCTAGTGCAGTGATAGCAAACCTTTTAAAGACTGCCCCAAAACTGGCCCTGCCCCACTCCACTCCCCTGCCCTGCACTGTTCTGCCCCCATCCCCCACCCCACCTGCCCACAGGACCACTCACCGCCTCCAGGACTCGCTGCAGATCGCTCAGGCAGCCTAGCAGCGCTATGGTGGCTACACCCCCTGCCCGTGCCCTGCAGCATCAACTGCATGATGGGGTGTGAGGGCAGAGTCTTGTCTATGCTGCTGACTGCCATGTCCTTGGCTGCGCTGCTCCATGTGGGCCACACTCGAGGGCGACTCTCCTTCAGGGGGGCTGCTGGAGAGAAGGGGGTTGCAGGGGGAGGCAAGGCTGGGGCAACGGCACATGTGCCCACAGAGAGGGCTCCGAGTGCCGCCTCTGGTCTAGTGGAAAAGCTGAATTGGAAAAAGAAGCTAGCTCCCCAAAGAGGGAAGAGAATTTAAAGTTGTTGACTCAAAGAGCTTTAAATTCTCTTCCCTGCTCAAAGCCACTGCTGTTTTGTTCCTTAGCTCTTGTACTTCATTATAGCACTTGCTCATTCTTCACACATTAGTTCATTTTAAAGAACTAAAGTAATATAAAAAAATGGGTAAAAGCTTTGAGATCAAAATTGATAAAAGTTAAGAATGGATTGTTTTCTTCTAAATTCTTTGTTAAAGTTATTTAGCTTTTATCACAGGTAAGATCAAAGTACTCTCTAATACCCACAATTATTTTTAGGATACAATTTATATCACCAATTCTTTTTCCAAAATTATTGATTTTTTTTTAAAAAGTGAAAGCTGGCCTTATGAATGCCTATATATCTATTTTCCTCACCAAACATGGCTGATCAAATATAGATTTTAAATAAATTAAATTAACTTATGTTCTTTCACAGAGAGGCACAAATAAATTTGTCTATTATTACAGGCAACAATGTGAAAATCAATGGAGTTTAATAAAAGAAATTGAATAGGTCACCATCAAAATCCTTCTTAGTCTGATAGTTAGAAGTCCTCTTTATTACACCTGCTTTTCCAACAAAACTATTTAAAACCTGAGAACAAGAAGTCTTTAAAATGTTAAGCAATTTATTTTTTCCAATAAATTTTGGCTTAGGTTTATGAGAAGGTTCAGCTTCTTCTCATCTTTAAACTGTATGACTACATAACCTACTGTCCTCATAAATCTTAGAATCCATTTCCAAATTCCAAAAATTTTACTTGAGGTCTATGTTTTTCAGCCCTCATGACTCTGGGTATTAAACCTGTCATTTGATTTGTACAGTATTGGAAATGTGAGATTCAGAGGAGCATAAATCAGTCTGTAAACTAAGATTGAATTTGACATATTTAATTTTTTTATTAAGATAATAGTATAAAATACAAATGAAAATAAAGGTAGTAGGAAAATAGGAAGGTGAAAGAAAGGGGAAAGAGAAGTGTAGAGTGAAGGGGGAAAGAAAAAAAGCGTTGACTTTCAACTTTTTTAGCTCAGTAAAATACAAAAAATATTTTTTATTTTTACACATACTAGCCATTTCTATAACAACAACTAATCACCAAATCGCAAGGTCAAGATTTCAGACTAAATTTAATTTGAGCCACTTTGAGATTGAAAGAGATTATCTGAAAAAAAAGTATCCTTAGGCTGTAATAGGGAAGTATTAAAATACTTACAGCTATTTCATTTTTTTCCCAGAAAGAAATCAAAATAGCTATGATAATAACCCTTTAGTGCAGGGGTGTCAAGTTGCCAGCCCGCAGGCCGGATGTGTCATCCAGAAGCCGCGCCCACCCCATTGCCAGTAATGGCAAAACTGACCCGATATGTTGTGCAAAGTCACGTGACGTCGCGAGTTTGACATGTCTGCTTTAGTGGTTTATACCAACTTTCCAACATTATGATGACTGTAAGAGAAGATAGATACAGCAGTTTCCCCCTTGCACATACAGTAAGTTATTTTCTACGTGTGAAGAATAGTGAGGATGATGATGAAAAGGGACAAAGCAATTATGTTTATCCTTACTTCTTACCCATGAATAAAGTGTTTATCTGTGTTAAGCAGTATTGAAAAAAATTAAAATTATGAACTTGGCTGTACGTAGCATTTCTGAAAGGGCTTCTGGTATAATTGACTGGCTCTCTTAACATTATTCCAAAGATTCAAGCCTCTTTATTTGCTGAACAGATGTTTGTTTGAAATCTTCAGACTGGTTCTTGGTGGAGGCAGATCAGAAGGAAGAAGGTGCTGCTCTACCATGGCCTAGATTAGAACATGGTTTGCAGTGCCAATGCAGTAAGGTACCCACTCCCTTTCCAGTGATGATGAGCTGGCTACTCAGATACTTGCTTTCTCCCAGAATAGAAAGTTATTAAAAATAATGTCTCTCCTGGCAAGCAGATCCTTCAACATTCATTGTTTTAAAGCTCGTTTGGGAAGATTTTTATTCTAAAAGGGCAAGATATAAATTATCCTAATAAATAATAGAAAGGCAGTTTGGTTAAAGGCCCCAGGCCAGAAACCAAAAGACTAAGTTTGTAGGAACAAAGCCAACTGGAGGCCAGTGACTCTCTCTTTCTCAGACCTAGGAAGAAGACAAGACTTCTGAAAAATCTCCAAATCATTTGTCTACATAGTCATCAGGAATAGTGATCGACTGAAGGCATTAAATAAATAATCTATTATTCCCATTTTTCAAGATTAAAAGTGGCATAAAAAGAACCATCAAGCTATTTTTATATGTAACAATGTTCACAGCAATTGTTGTTATTTTGCCATTGTATATAGTGCCCAACTGCAGTGACTTCAAGAGTGAGTGATTTGAAAATAAAGTCTTTGCTTGTGGTATTAATTCCAGAAATCAATAGAATTTCATTCACATTTTTTATTGTATCCATGCCAATAAAGCTTTCTGAATTGCTCTGTAGCCATATGCTACAAATGAAAAAGGATTATTTCAGAAAACTGAAAACCATTTAGGTCAAAATCCTAATTAAATTTATCTGCAAATAATTCCCATCTAGTCAGTAATAAACTTTCTGTAGGGTTAAGCAGATTTAAGATTATTTCTGCACTAGCCAGTTGATGTATTGAACATTCACAATTATATATTGCCTGAGACTGGCTTGGAGCTTAGAATGGATTGGATCTAATTAGTTTTTGAATGAAAGACTATCTGGGAAAGACTATCTAGTTATAAACTAGATTGTAAAATAATAATAAAACAAGCAGAGGAACAAAAGTTCAGCTTCTAATTAAAAAGCTGATTTTGGAAAACTGCAAGACCAACCTGAATATAGTTTGCATTGACTATAAGAAGGCTTTCCAGTCCCTGACACATGATTAGATAATCAAGTGCCTAGAAAAACAGGAAGAAACATCAGAAGATTTGTGCGAATGTAAGGCACAGTTGCTGGTCAATGCTAATAAACTGAGAGCAGTTAATATCAAGAGAAGAATCTTTCAAGGAGATCCACTCTCACCACTGATGTTTGTCACTGCACTGATTCCTCTATCAACTATACTGAACAAGTTAGATTATGCTACCTAACATTAAAAACATATGCCAGGCTATCTACCTCCTTTACATGGATGACCTGAAGCTATATGGAAAAATACATGAAATGGAATTTATTTATTTACAAATATTTATATGCCGCCCCATCCCAAAGGACTCAGGGCGGCATACAAGGTTAAAAACAGTCATAAAAGAATAAAATAATCCAGTCATACCGCGAGTCCGATCATATCCTGCCCCCCCGGGGACATCAGCCCCAGGCCTGCCGGAACAGGAGAGTTTTAACGGCTTTCTTAAAGGCCGGCAGGGTGGGAGTAGTTCGAACCTCGGGGGGAAGTTGATTGCTGCTCAGTGCTGCATGTATACACAGCCAAAATATTGCAATGAAGTTAGGACTGGATAAGTGTGTGTCACTTTGGCAAGGAGGCACATAGATTTTATTGGTGGGATAAAGGAATGAAAAGAACCACTTGATTTAATGGCTAAAGCATCAGACTAGAAACCTGGAGACAGTAAATTCTAATCCTGCCTCAGGCACTAAGCCAACTGGGGGAATCTTGAGCCAGTCTCTGTTCTGTCTGTCTGTCTCTGTCCAGGTCTCTCTCCCTCTCTCCCCCTCTCCCCCTCTCCCTCTCTCTCTCCCTCTCTCTCCCCCCCTAGAGGAAGCAGGAAACAGCAAACCATTTCTGAAATCTTAGCAAGAAAACTGTAGGGACTTGTCCAGGCAGTCACCAGGAGTCAAAAATGTATTGATAACTCATGAAGCTTTCCTTTTCAAAACTATTCTACAAACAGCCATTGTTACAACATATCTGCCATCCTTTGGGAAAGAAATGGGCAGTCTTTCTGGTCTTAAGATGATAGAGAATACACTAAGTAGAAAGTAGGGTCAGGACCCAACAAACTGACCATGAACAACTACTTCAACCTTACTTTTGCTCTGGGGGCTAATGGGGAAGACGAGATTCCCAATGATTACCCATTCCTGTTGTAGGATAAATAAAACTTTTCTTTAAGGATATTTAGGGAAGAATAATGCATCATTATTTGAAGAAGTAAGCAATATTCTTGGAAGGAATTGATTTTATTAATGGCCATTAAACAGCTCCTTGAAGTTGACCATAAGACTGAATAGCAAACGACAGCTTGTTTTCCTTCTCATGTAATTTACCTGCTAAATGTTTAATTGGTTAAGAAAGAGGGACATATGTTTGATTACAACCATGTTAACATCCACTTGGTGTTGTTTGCTTTTCCTGAGGACTAATAAAATAATGTCCTCTAGAGAGAGTTTTGTTTTAGCATCAATTTAGAGACATTCAAGCTACCAGAAGCTGATTAATTTTATTTTGCTATAAGCAGCTATGTTTCCAATGCACCAGGACACAAGGACTGGAACTTTCTCATATTTTTTAAGAGATGAAAACCTAATTGCTGAATAAATTGTGAACTGGGTCTATGCAGGCAGTCACTAGGCAAAGAATTGGCCTGGGCAATGTTAAGTATTTTGCTTGCCTGGCTAGCTTTCTTCATGGCTTTCTTCGTGTGCTTGTGATAGGTATTTACCAGGAATTACTAAAAAGACAATGACACAATGATAGAGTTGGAAGGAAGCATTCAAAATGCTGCACAAAGCCCCCTACCCAAATCCAAATTAAAACACTTGTGATAAATGGCTGCCTGGTTTCTTCTTCAGTGTGATCTGCATTTTTGGATTAATCCACACATTTGGAATTTGGAGACCATTTTATGACTACAAAATATTTATTTAGCAGAAGATGAATTAGTGAAGTTACTCTCCATCACTCCATCATATAATCTTTTAGTTACTTTCTATTGCTATTTTTTTTTCTGAACTTGAGGCACACTGTCAAAGAAGTACTGAGTCACAGCCAACTACCATTTTATTTTCTAAAAATGCCTCTGGGGTTTACCTGGAGTCCAGAAACATTCCTGGAAATAAAGATTATGCATGAGGACATTTTTGTTTTGCAGAAGGCTGTATGTCATTTATTTTTAATTAAAATATTGTGTGTGTGTGTGTGTCCGTGTGTGTTTAAGAAGGCAAGTAGAAAGCCTGTTGGGACATTTTGATACAGATGTTGCAGCACAGAGGGACTGTACTGGAACTTGATTCTAGAACATTGCTTCTTCACTTGTATTGTTGGGAAGTTTTCTTCTTCTTAACTTGTAGACTTACTTCAAGTTTTTTCTGATTTTTTTTTCTTGCAGGAAGGAGGTATTGTTGCCTTGCTTAAAATCTGCCGTCAAGATTGCTTCAGATGCCTATATCCTCAAATACTTCGAACACTGGCCTCAGTATGCTGCGTGGAAGAAGGAATCCAACAGCTGGAAAAGGTATCTTCATGTCATGTGTCTGCAAAAAAATGTGCTGTCCTTAGCAAATTGCTAACACATGCATTATGCAACCCCAAAGTCCACCAATGACAAGTATTGATTATCCAAAAGAGTTCGTCACAAATATGTTATTGCTGGGGATGGATTTTTAAACAATTCTTCATGTTTATTTGTCAGCAGGTGGGTTGAATATTGCAAATATTGTTCCATCAAATCAATATGAAACTTGCCATTTAGTTCAATATCTGGGAACAGCCTGTTCATTGGGATAAGAGGTTGTGCCTGCAGATTCTAAACACCATGTATAATCCTGCTGTGCAGGATGATTTCTTTTTGCAGATTTAGAAAGTTGTTAAGATATTTAATTTAATAGCTGGAGCAGTGAAGGATTGGACAATGAACAAGAACACACAGTTATAGCTAATTGGTTGAAGAGAGCTGACTACTGGATGAGGCAATCTAAGCTGTGATTCATTGCTGTGAGTGTAAATGGGGGAGTTTCCTTGTTTTCCTCTGTGTGCTGTGCATGCTCTGTAATTTACCTGATGATTAGATTGCTAACAAAGAATAAAGGGAGAACTGGAATAACTATTTTGAGCTTCTTTTTTATTGAAAAGTTTTATAAAAATTACAGTATACACCCCAAAACCCACCCACCCTAACCCCCCCTCTCCCTCCCCCACTTCCCAGAGCTGAGTACAGGGTTACAAATATAATAATCAAACTCTAACTAACATTAACCAACTATATAAATAACCATGTCCATAATGCGCTTTACCTCCCCTTTAACATAAGTATAAACAAATTAAAAATAAACATAATAATATAAACAAGTCAATATTATTAAACAATACAATATCCAAATTGTTAAACAATACTAATACTAAAAATAATAATAAAACTAATAAAAATTCAACTATAATAAACTATTAATAATAATAATACTCTAAAATTTACTCATAAACTAAATGGAACTTTTTAGTCCCATATTTATTCTGAATATAATCTATCCATCTTCTCCAGACCGAAATGTATCTTTCTTGTGAATGATCCTTCAAGTAAGCAGAAATTTTCACCATTTCTGCTAAATTTGACACTTTAAGTGTCCATTCTTCTATAGTAAGCAAGCAATCCTTCTTCCAATATTGCCCTACCAATAACCCTGCAGCTGTTATCAAATTCAACATCAAGTTAATTTCTTTAGCATCACAATCTACAATAACACCCAATACAAATAATTGTGGGGTAAACTTTATCTTTCTCCTAAAAATCTTTTGAATGTTCCACCAAATCTTAATCCAAAAAGCTTTTATATTTCTACAGGTCCACCAAATATGAAAATAAGTAGCATCCAAGCTACCACATCTCCAACATTTGGGCTGTAAATTGGGATACATACAAGACAACTTTTTAGGATCCAGATGCCATCTATAAAACATTTTGTAAAAATTTTCTCTTAAATTTTGGGCCTGGGTAAATTTTACATTTCTAACCCAAATTACCTCCCATATATCCAATGGAATCGGTTCTTGAGTATTTTGGGCCCATTTTACCATACAATCTTTAACTAAATCCATTTCTGAATCCAATTCTATTAAAGCATTATAAATTCTCTTTATATGTGCTCGATTTTGATCTTTAATCTGTTTTACCAAATTCTCATCCATTAAGGTAATACCAACCTTTTGATCTAACTTCCACCTAACGAACAATTGATTATACTGAAACCAAGACTGTACAATATTTTCTTGCTTTAACTCAACTAACGGTTTTAATTGCCAATCATTCCCTACCAATCTAAGTAATTCCTTATAAGAAATCCTATCCAAATTCACAGCCATAGATACCCTCTCTATCACGTGTCCAGGAATCCCCCAGATTGGTATTTTATAATTTAACCTATAATAATACTTCTTCCAGACACTCAATAAAGCACTTCTTAAAATATGAGATTTAAAAACCTGGTCAACTTTTTTGTTATAAATTAAGTATGCGTGACACCCATATAATAAATCCCATCCCTCAAGGTGAAGTATACTTTTATTTGTTAAATTAAGCCAATCACTAACCAGTGTTAAAACCACTGCATCATAGTATAATTTCAAATTAGGCACCTTAAGTCCTCCTCTTTCCCGTGCGTCTTGTAAGATCTTAAATTTAATTCTTTTTCCCCGCCCAAATAAATTTATTAATACCCTTCTGCCATTCATCCAAATTGACATCTTTTTTCAAAATAGGTATCATTTGAAACAAAAAAAGAAACTTTGGTAGAACATTCATTTTAACAGCTGAAATTTCCCCCCAACAAGGATAATTGTAATTTTTTCCAATTGTTTAAGTCCTTTTGTACTTTTAACCATAATATCTCATAATTATTTTTATACAATTTTACATTAGAGGCTGTAATATATACTCCCAGATATTTAACCTTTTTCACTATTTCAAAACCTGTCTGTAAAAATTCTTGCTTTTTAAATAAATAACCAAAGTCTAATACATTGTTTAAACTTTGTTTCCAAATGTCTTTCTTAACACTTTCCTTTCAAACAAAGAAACAACATTCTGGTGCCATTTTTTTCCTTTAAGTCGAATTAAAATATGGAGAAGATTATTTCTCCCAAGTTAAAGTTTCAAGCATTCACAATTTTAACTTCTCCTGGTCAGCTCCAGCTGCTTTTAAATTACTCACAAGTCCCTTTGAAATGCAGATGTGGGTGTGGTGTCTTGCTTTGCTCCTGAAGCTCGGAGCAAAGGCGCCCTGGAGTGCGGAGAATGCCTCTGGCTTTGAGGGAACTCACACCCTTCGACCTCCAAATAAATAAGGAGGTCTAGGGCAGTTCTACCTCTACCTGAGGTAAACTCTTCCCCCCTCTTCTCCCGAGGAGGAGATTTCCAAGCCGCAGGACAGTTGATTTTCACTGTCTCCACGTGCTTTTACACATTCACAGGGGTGGCAGCTCAAAGAAAGCTGCCATCAGCACAGCATCCCCACCAGAAGCTCGCTATTTTGAGCTTCTTAACCCTCTTCAGCCAGACATATCCTTCTGAGATTCGAACCTGGGCTGTGTGCATGTTAGGCAGCTGTATTAACCTCTAGGCCACAGGCTCTTTCTCACTTTGTCAGCTGTATCAGGGAGGGAAAAGACAGGGGGAGAAGATTTACCTTGAGTGTTTTTTGATGTACCCTGTCAGCCCAAATATGGAAGAAAGAAATCTTCTTTCTTTTTATTTTTATTTTTCTTTTGCTTCGACCGTGCAATTCCCTGATATTGGTCGTAGCAGAATTCAGTAGCATAAGATCCAAGAGAGAGAGTGCTGTGACAAAATTTTGCCTTTACTCTCTGGGGTATTAGCTTAATTATTCCTGTCATAATTTATATGTAGTCATATGTTCCTGAGATCATGCCCACTTTATTCCAACACCTGCTTTCCTCCCAGAAATACAAGGTTGCACAAATACCTTGATTCCACTCCATAGTTTCCAAAAGAAAACTTTGTCTGAAAGACTGGTGTTCCAAGAATAGTCCATGAGCTAATTAGCTGGGTGGTGACTTCAAAAGGCATCTCTCAAATTCTTTCTCATGTTCTAACTACTAGGCCTCACAGATTCTGAGAGGTATGTAGAATGCTACTGTTCCTGAGATATTTAGCCTCCCTACAATTTTAAGTATCTCCCAGCACAAAAGTATGCACCGTTGTGCACATTTTGACATCTGACAGCCTGTAGTGGGCATTGGTTGAAAATGAATATTATTGATGATGTAAGAACTGGTCCATTCATCTGCATGGCCAGTCACAACCCACCCAGTTGTAGGAAGGCTAAGTAATGAGATCCCTTATCCACATTATTGAATCCCTCCAATTAGTCACCACTTAACTAACATTCCTTTTTCTCCTTTATTTCCTGAACGAATGGTGCATCCTCAGACATGGATTGCAACCAACCTAAATATTTATTTTCTAGAAGTACCTATGGAGTATACTGAATATGGAGCTTTCATCCATTTTGAAAATAAATATGATATCAAATGTATAATTCAGTAGCATTTCAATATCCAATTAATTATTTTTAAGCAAAAGCATCTAAAAAAAGACAAGGGCCTAGTAATCATACCATGTATAGGTAAGTACCTATTGAACTTAACTGCTTTCTATCGCCTTGTGCATATCTACATACATTTGCCTAAGAGCTGCACAATGGCATATGAATTGTAATAAGCTATTATGAGGAGTCTAAATATGAAGCATCTAGAAGCTTTCCCTGTCCACTGATGAAACTTGGCCTTGAGGTAACAACTGTTCAGGTACTCTCAACTATCTGGGTTACCTTCAAAACTGAAATTATGAATTATCAATTTTTGCTCTTCCATGTTGAGTTTACGTGAAGATAACAAATTATATTTTCTGAGCACCCAACACTTTAATCATTTATACTCTCCTGTTAGAATGGTAATCCATTGACTTGCCTGTAATAATACTTCTGTGTTTACCATGCATTGGCATAAAGTAAATGCAGAGTGTCTGAAAAAAGGTATATGAAATTACAATATATGAATTTGTAAGATTATTTTGTGTAGTAATGTATGCATTCACAAAAAAAACCACTCACTGAAATGGTGAATGTTTTCTATGGGTTCAGGTCCTTTTCTGTTCATCTCTGAAATGTCACCTTGGATGGTAATGAGATGGCACATCACCTCACCACCACACAATTTACCATAAAGTGTAGATTTATAGTCATTTTGAGACAAATATAACAACTGAGTATCAGAAAAAGGTGTTGTTGGTTTTTTTTTTTTTTACAAAAACTAATTTTAACTCTGAGTGGTAGATACTTGACAAACTCTAAAGCATGTCATTATCACCATTGTTCATTTGAGTTGTTGATAAGGTTCAATTCTTCAGAAACACATTGTTAAACAAAGGAAAACAAAGGCTACTAATAACTTCCTAAATCATGATATTCTTCGAATTTGAACAATGTGTCTCTTCAACAAAAC